CCGGCATGTGTGACCAGTGTATGAGACTTGGTGGCCGTCCTCTTTTCTCTCTCTTTCCAACCTCCTGGCATCGCCACGAAACTTTGAGCGCCTCGTCAGAGGCCGCAGATCGTCATCATGGTGCGTTTCCCTCCTCGTTCTGGGCCAGACTTGTGCCTGTGGTTTATTGGAAGACATGTTCTGTTTTCAGCATGTGTGCCATGGAGCCTGGCAGGTCGTGACATTGCGCAAGAATATGCAGCAGCGAGAAGACGCCATGTGGTACATTTCAGCAATCATGGTTCTCTGATAGGGATTGCAGGCTATTGGAGTTCTAGTGTTCTTCTTTGGGTTCGTTGGATGGGCAGGCTTGCTCTTGAGAGTTGAACGCACAGGGTTCTTCTCATTAGCTGCTGAGAGGTGTAGACAAAACCCCACAGTGTTGGTTGCTGGTAACGGTGTGTGGTGATTCCTCAAATTTGCGACCAGCTTGGCTTGTGCCCTCCACCGCCTGTCATTCTAAAATGAAGGCATCAAAGCAGATTGCAGCTGGCCTCGGGGCAGGGACCACGTCATGTGCAGCTGATAACATGGTCTTTGGACCGGCGGAAAGTGTTGGGGTGGGTAGTTGTAGTGTGAGATTGACGGCTAGCAGCCATTTTGAACCCACACACACAGATTGAATAATGGTAACGGTTGGACGCAGCTGCGATTGCGTGTAACAAGTGTTCGCACTTGCGCATGGTTGAATTGAAGCCAATGAACTTTTCCAGGATGTTTAAGTAGTGCTACAGCGACTGTCACGGGGCAGGCTTAAAGACAGATCAATGAAGTTTCCGGGTAAGGTTTTTACTCGGCAGCGGCCAGAAGGTCAAGGTTTGGCAACCCTCAGCAGCACGATAGGAAGGAAGATTCGGTTAGCTTAGTGAGTAGCTCACGCAGTGTGCGATCATCGTGTGCAGTTGATCCCCAAGAAGAACCGCACTGAGGTGTACAAGTTCCTCTTCTCCGAGGGGGTCTTGTATGCCAAGAAGGACTTTGAGGCACCCAAGCACCCGGAGATTGATGTGCCCAACCTGCAGGTAGGTTGCTGAGAACAATGACCTTCACAAAGTTGTCAATGGAATGGACTGCTGGATGCTCATTGCAGGGCTACCATCTGGAGTGATGGGTTTCATCCAGAGGGTAGCGGCACTCGTTGCATAAATTTGCGAAGAAGCGCTTGATATCATACTTGCACTGCGAATGCACACTGGTTACAACTGGACTAAAATGGTTACAACCAGACTAAAATGAGACATTGAATCGGCCTATCTGATGCTGGGTTGTGCTGCCAACTCTGTCGAACGGCTGCCGTCTTTGAGCGCATGATGTTGCCAGCGCTGGAGGCATAGAGCGATTTAGGCATCCGTAGCTCGTTATTAGAGACTAGCAAAAGCTGGTTTTAGGAAAGTTGACACCGTTGATGAGAAGCGTATGTCGTCAGATTTGGCCGCTGGCTACTTACAAAAGAGGTTGTTGCGTCTTCTGCGACTACGAGGTTGATGTTTGGCAAAAAGGTCGCTGCAGAACGACCGGATTAGTTGCAGTTGGGACCAGGGGCGCTGCGAGCTCCGAGTCTCTGTCCACAGGTCTTACTAAGCCCTTCTAAAGCTTCTCAACGGTTTGGCTGTGCAGGTTATCAAGCTTATGCAGAGCTTCAAGTCGAAGGAGTATGTGAAGGAGAGCTTTGCATGGAGGCACTACTACTGGTGAGCACTATCGTCCTGGAAAACCACGCAAAGTGCTGCACCTTTCAAGGTTTCAAATGATGAGGGTTTTCTCGTTGAAAAGCGTGTTGAGCAAAGCGGTCTTGGCAAGTTAACTGGTTTGCACCGCCTCAAGTACCTCGAGCCTGTTGCCAACAGTTATCCAGAGATTTGGAATGTAAGCTTTTCAGTAACTGTCCGACCAGATTTTAACAGTGCTCTTAACTACTAGTGACCATCCATGAAAGGCTGCCTGTTCCAGGGCGATTTTGGAATTTCCGGCGACCATCTGAGGACTCTGTTGAAGTAATCTAGGCATGGCGTCTGAGCAATGACAGAAAGACAGCTGACAGAGCATACTGGAACACTTTGAGCAAGATCTAGGCCATTGAAGTGGTTGTTCAGAAACCACATCGCCGCTGGAGGCAGCATAAAGAATCCAGACAGATCAGGGCCTTTGATTGAACACTTTTTGTGATCAGACTACCTGGTGCATCTTTACCAGGTTCCCTGGCTCAGAAGGTCATATTACTACCATTCATATCATTGTGTTACCAGGTTAGCGGGACATATTGGACTCTCTTATCGGTACTCTTCAGTGAGCAGGGCATTCGCTTCTTCCACGAGCGGCGATAAATTCAGCTTGATTAGTCAAGCTGACCCGAATCCATTCTGGTAACCAGGTACCTGACTGAGGAGGGCATCACCTACCTGCGCGAGTACCTGAACCTGCCCTCGGAGATCGTCCCCGCCACCATGAAGAAGTCCGCCAGGCCGGCCCAGAGGCCTCTTGCCGGCGGCGACCGCCCGCCCCGCCCCCCGAGGTTGGTGTTTTCGCAGATCCTCGTGCCGCTTTTTCTCGGAACATGATGATTGTGTCTGGGACTCTTTTTCAGACTCTTTGCAGCGTCTGTGAGATGTACAATCACACTCTATTCGCGCTCCTCCCTCACAGGACGAGAACGACTGGGTTGGGTCATCCAGATGATTTAGCTGTGATTCTTGAGCCGCTTGCCAGTTTCGCAATTGTAAGAAAGCCGTTCGAATTTCTGGTCCACCATCCTGGCACGCAATAGATACTTTGGCCGTCTGAAGATGCTCGTTGCCTTCTAGCAATTCATCATTCACAGGAAGCTTGCTTTCCCCCCTTGGGCTTGGCCCAAGATCGGGTTCCATGTTCCACGCTCCTCAACCCGTTCTTGTGCTTCTGAGATCAAAGCGCTGTCTCTTGGGAAATGATCTTCTGTGTGTTGAAGCTTGGTTTGCTAGGTAGCTCCTTGCGCGTCTTCTCTGTAAATCACTGGTGACAGGTCCAGATTTGGCAGTTGGAGGTCATTCTGCCACGAGCCTGACCCGCTTGGTTATGTGCTCGCTTTGTTAACCATCTTTCCTCCTTCGTGCAGAATGGAGGGTGACCGGCCCCGGTTTGGTGGTGACCGTGAGGGTTACCGGTCCGGTGCCCCCCGTCCCGGCTACGGAGACAAGGGCGGCGCTCCTGGCGAGTTCCGGCCAGAGTTCCGTGAGGTGAGTTTCTGCCGATCTTATAATCTGCTTTTTCTCCTTCTTCAGGAGAGTTCGTTGTCTCCATATTCTGGCTCTGCTCGGCGGTTTATCAAGTTCGGTACCCTAAATTCTGGCTTTGCTTCATGGTCGAGCGAGTTCATTCCTCCTCAGAACTTGGCGTTGACGGCGATCCATCAGCCACGTTCCGTTGGGAGAGTTGGAAGAAGTCAAACCTTTTTGTCCGAAGAGGACGGCCCTAGAAGAAAACGCTCGTTTACGCACTTCTTTCGCATCCTGTCTAGTTGCACCCTCTATTCTGATCAGGCGTCTCGGGTCAATTCCGCCTGACCATATGTCAAATCTCTAAGCTCAAGGAAGGTGGATTCTCTGTTTGAAGATGCGCTTTTAGTTGCTGCAAACACATGCGGCCTTACGGCAGTTTCTCAAGGACTTTGCGTTTCCGTCTGTTTTTTCGTGCTGCACTTCCAACTGGATGACGACTCATGGTCAGAGGCGTGCACATTTACAGCAGAACGGATGTAGAAACTTGGTTTCGAACGGTCGATTGACAAGCCTTGACTTCGACTACTAATAAGCGACGACGAAAGAGCAGTCAAGAAGCGAGGACCGCAACACCAGGTCGTTTTGAAGCCCCAATCCTCATCCCTGGTTTCCTCGCGTGCAGGGAGAGGGCGGCGAGAGCCGTGGCTTCGGACGTGGCGGCGGCCGGTTCGGCGGCCCCCCCCGTGGCGGTGCCCCCGGCGCCCCTGCTGAGTAGACGTTTGTACCATACCCGCGCCGCTAGCATAACCGAGTATGCAAAGCGTCGTCTGAGAAGGGGGTTTTGGATAACCGTTCGTCGAGCAGAGGCGATTGTGCGGAAAGGAGGTGGGTGGATGGGCACACAGCGGGGCGCCCGCCGGCCTGGGCGGGCCGGGGCGGGACCGCTGGCAATCAGGAGGTTGGACAAATTCTGAATGCCGTCATCTTCTAGAGCGAACAAGCAATCCGTTCCCTCGTCAATCTGTGTGCGCAAGCGATTTGAGGCCCGTCATATGCACTCGCAATGCAAGCCATGGTGCGGGGTTCCGCCGGTTCAATTTGCTATGCGGGGATCACAGTGGATTTGGGGTGGATTTTCGTGGATGATTGATGTCACAGGGCCGCAGATGGTGCGCTGTTCCAGTACCGTACTGGAATGGCAGACAAAATATTGGATAAAGACATATATCTAGCTGCCTTGCGGATGGCTCGGTAGTCCAACCGTCCGGCATTTCCAGGAGGCGCCGACCTTTCCAGGAGGGCCTAAAAAGATTTAGTTGGCATGGGCGGATACATGCGTACGTACGTGCATACAAATGTCCGGATTTGAAGCCGCCACTTCAGAGGCCCAACTCATATTGTGCATATGCGTTTATATGTTAGGCATTTTTGGTGCCCGGAATGTCAACCTTGCGAACCGTGCCATGCCAAGCCTTGAAGGCCGCGCGGGCGGCCGGTCAGTTGAATTCATTTAAGTTCATGGCCGCCTGCGCTTCTATCGAGCATTTATTGCTGCTAGAATCAATGATTCAATGGCATACACAGCGACTGATGTGTCTCAGCAAGATATCGCTCCGGTCCGGGTGGTACTTCTACGAATTTTACTCCCCTGCCTCGATCGATCGAATTTTTCATGCGCAGCCGGATATGTCATATATTTCAGCTAAATGAGGAAGCACCATTATATACTTTTGAAAGGTTCCGCCGGTCGATCAAATTGCAAACATTCATTCACTTACACATGAAGCCGGCGCCACCGCTGTCACTGTCCTGAGATGCACATAGGAAAGTCGAGCTGCTGATGAGTCGGACGTCATTTTCAGAGATGAGCGCCTATAGAAGCAACGTCAGGCTCTTCTTCTCCCGCTCGCGAAGTGTCCTTCGATCTCCTCTTCCTTGTCCGCTTTCTCGCAGTCCTCAACCGCTACAGTAGGTCCTAGCTATTACAGTAACTGGACTGGAGGTTCTTCCATGATCTGCGGCAAGACCGTTTCAGATGAACACGCGAAGCAGCCCACGTCTCTGGGCCGTCGATAAGCATTCAAGTCTTGATCTCGACGGTCGGGATTTGTCGATTCCTTCAGAGATCATCATATCAAACCCTGCGGCCGCGTCCGACAGTTGCCGGCCGCGACTCCAGCAGCACTAGCGCGGGGAATCTCATCCGGCCGGGTGGCGGCGCGTTGCGTCACACCATTTGCACGTAGCTGACATATATACACAAAAGGCCCGCTGCCTGCCAGACTGGCGGGGCGGCCCGGCCGCAATTGTTGCTGCAGATCCCACGAACGCTTTAGCTTCGCAAATTACGAAGGGCATACTGATACATCGCGAATGATAATGTGGGGCATATAGGAAGCGAATTCATCACTTGCGACGGGGCTCAGCGTAGAATCGCATTAAGAATCGATCGAGGCTCAAAGTGAGCACGGCATAACCTATAGTACCGGCCACCCAGGGCTTGCTTTGATATGTTGTCTCAGATGATAAGTTAAGGCCCCGTTCGGTTGCATTTTGATTCTCACCTCTTAGTATACATTTGCCATGATCGATTAAAGCCATAGATCCGCTATATTGCAGCGTATGGCACAGAGCTGAGCTTTCGAGTAGTCGGTACATTGATCTGACAAGAAGTATGCAACTGAGCCGCACTCACTGTAAACTTTAAAAGGCTTTGCAAACATCGCACGAATCTATCTCTCAGTAGGCCAGACTCCGCCTGATGATCAGAAGGACTGAGGACTACAGTATTGTAAAAAGCACCCCGAAGTAGGTGCCACAAAAGCACGGTTTGGAGCAGATTAAAGAGTCACAATCAAACAGCACGGAAAATCGTATATCTAGCATACGCAACTTCAGGCCAGCCGGTCTTTATTCATTTTATTCTTCTTGAAACAGATAGAGTAACGTGCTACCAACTTTGACTGCTTCCGCCTAAGTTCTCGAGTTGTCCAGAGCCTACGCGTCTGGATGATTGTCAAAGGCATTGAATGGAGGGCCTTCTACCGCCTTGGAGGTCGCAAGATTGATGAATCAAATCAACGACAAAGTTCTACAAGAGACCCACAACTGACAAAATTTGTGTGTGGAACCAGACCAAACCGTTACTTTTTCCTTGAATCACAGACTGCTTACGAGGCTGTTAAATTACCACAGAGGGAGTTACTCCAGCAATTTTTTTCACTCATTGCTCTCAAGTGAGATCTACGGCTCAAGATCGAAATGGGGGGAGCTGCGCCTTGGGTATGTGCGCGCGCAGATGGCACGCACTTTCAAGCTGATTGGCCGCGCGCGCAATCGAGCGGCCGCCTCATCAAAGTTAAAGTGGACCTACAGCAGACTAGCAAAACTGTGGTAGCTTTGAAGGTAGAGCAAACGAGTGCCAGGAGGGGACCGCATCTGCGCAGTCGAGGAAAGATGACGAGAAGGGAAACCCATCAGAAGATTGAACGAGCAAGTCACTCGAATCTTATCTCTTCTACTGACAATCAGTCTTGCGCCGTCGAAGCAGAATTGCGGCGACTCGAACTGAGCGAATCATCGCGCTTCGGATTCGACAGCACATCCCTGTTGAAGTTCATAGCCTATCGACTCAGCATGCAGCTAAGATTGCCTGGCTTCTTATTCTCCATTATTACTCAACAACACATCCAAACCTGCGTCGCCTCCAAAACTTTGCTTCAAGAGGCAAGAATCATCAAAGCGCAGCTCAAATTAAGACTGAGAAACATTGATCCCCGGGAACTGGAAGTTGCGTACCGGGCAGATTAAGCGCAGACGGGAGCATCTCCCGGGGTCGAGGAGCAGGCGCCGGCGCAGCAGGTGAAGAGGGATCCCCCCGCGTTGAAGCACTGCAAAATCGGACAGGGGAAGTTCACTTGTTTTTTGGGTCCTCAATCACGGATGGTTATGAAGAGGTATGTGGTTATGAACTGTCCATTGACCACACTTGGGCGGTTACCAGCCTTGAGACAAGGTTAAAGACCGGTTATTTGTCCAGTAGTATTAAGCTGAGAATCAAGTCTGAATCAGCCAGGTTAGCCGTCAAAACTTCCTGTGGTTTATGCTTCTTATTAGATCCGGGCCCTGGTTCGGCAGGACTCGACCAGTTTAAACCAGGTGGAAGGTTTAAGATTTAAGGGTTAAGCTTTAAGGTTTAAGGTTTAAGGTTTAGGCATCGGACGCAGGCCTAACCAGGCTTGGTTGGGCGTGGCTTTTTCCTGGTGAAGCGGCGGCATAAGAACCGCTCATATATACAATCTGCAGATTGACAGGGCTCGGAAATCGAAAGGAAAGTGCAGTTTGAGTGACCTTTTGAGTGTAAATATGTCAACCAGAACAAAGCGGACGAGCGCGTCGCTTGTCAATTTTAGGAACTGATAGTTGCAGAGTAAAGCCAATCTTGCTAGACGTGCCACACCCGTAAAGACTTTTGCGCATAAGAAGTGTCAATTCTAGTCAGGGTAGAGTACACGCAGAGCGACGCAGCATTCGATACGATCATGTCAGGTCGGCGGTTCTAAGTAAGAAGACTCTAGCTTGAAACCCGTCAGCTGTACGACTTTTGTGATTCGGCGGAATAGGTGAAAATGAGGGGAGTCAATCGCAAGCGCAGAGGATACGTCGATTCTCTCTTGTGATTCATGGCCACCGAACCTCTGCAAACAGTCAAAGCTGCGAATAGAACATTGATTAACTAGTTCACAGAAGGAAAGCGAAGACGTATGACGTTCCAGTGGGCGAAATCAAGGCACTGGCACGGAACGAAAAGCAAACCGTTTGTGAATACCAATCTTGAAGCCAACGCGCACCTGGTTGGGCGAGAAAGGGTTGCACGGCGCGCTTCCGGTGACGAAAGTCGGGGAGGGAGTCACCGGGCCTGCAGTGGTCGGGGCGGGGGTGGTCGGGGCAGCAGTGGTGGCAGCGAGAGTGGTCGGGGCAGGAGTCACCGGTTCCGCTGTGGTCGGGGCGGAAGTGGTTGGGGCGGAAGTAGTTGGGGCGGAAGTGGTCGGGGCGGAAGTAGTTGGGGCGGAAGTGGTCGGGGCGGGAGTGGTTGGGGCAGGGGTTATGGGGGTCGGCGCGTCTGCTAAGCTGGCAAAGCCAACGCACCGGGGGACGCTACCGGGCTGAGCGCAGCTGACGCCGACCGGGCAGCACGTGAACCTGCTGCCGTCACTGCTGAAGCACTGCAAAAGTGAGTGAAGCTTCTTTCCTGACTGCATTAAGTTAGCGTCTTGGGTTTTTGACTGGTTTTGAAAGGGGGAGTCTCATACCGTTTGACTTTCAAAGAAGAGATTGGCCATTGTTTGATGGTGCAGAGCCGTGCCAGCCGTCCATACGGCATTTTTTTGTCGCTTGCAATCACAAGTACGGGGATCGAGCTACACCGGCCAAAGCGCACAAGTTGAAAGCAAAGCCGTAAAAACAAGCTACTGCCAGATACGGTTCCTTGAAACAATCAACTTGAAGTTCCTGGAATGTCTCCTGGAAGACAGATTCATTTGGAGTTGGTGAATTCCGGTTTTACCTGGTTGGGGAAAGCCGAGAAGGCATCGCACACCCCCCCGGCGGGGAAGACCCCGGTCGTGGGGGCTGGGGTAGGGGCACCGGTGGTCGGGAGAGGAGTCGTTGGGGCGGGAGTGGTCGGGGCGGGGGTAGTCGGGGCGGGGTGGTCGGGGCCGGGTGGTCGGTTCCGGTGGTGGTCGGGCGGAGTAGTTGGCGAAGGAGTAAGTCGGGGCGGGGTGGTAGGGCGGGGTAGTCGGTTACCGGAGTGGTCGGGGCAGGGGTGGTCGGGAAGGAGTGGTCGGGCGGGGTGGTCGGGCGGGTGGTGGTTGGGTTC